AAAGAGACAGAGAGAGAGAGAGAAAGGAAAAGAAAGAGGGGAAGAAAAAAAGAAGAAAAAAGAGAAAAAGAAAGAAAAGAGGAAAGAAGGAAAGTTCTTCAAAGTTTTTGCTTCATAGATAAAGAGACTGAGGCTGGAAAAGAACAGATTTTTCAAAGTTGATGACAGAACCAAGGCAGGATCAAGCTTCTCTTGGCCTATTGGATTGAGACCCTGCTGCTTGACAGGAGTAGGCTTGATCTTAATTTGTATGCCACGCCCTAACAGGTGCAGTAAGTGTCCCACTATGAACCACATCTCCCAGCATCCACACCCCTGTGTTGTCCCTTTCCATGTTTCATCATGGCTGGCCCCATGATTTGCTTTAACAGAGAGAATGCTCTGGAAATGATGGTGTATAACTTTTGGAGGCTGGGCCACAAGAGTTTTGCAGCTTCTGCATGCTTCATCCTGGAACATTCCATGAACCAAGACATCAAGTTGTAAAGAAGATCAAGGATGGGACCAGCAGATGGCATAACACTTACATTGCTGGACGCCCCCCAACACACACACATAGTCTATCGCATTTCGAGACACAAACCTGACACACCGGGCACATGTGCGTGTGTGCCCAAAATTCCGAGAAGAGAATGAAAGAGAAGGAATTGCAGCATGGCCATCCCCTCTAGGGGCTGAATTCTCACTTTCTACTTCTGTCTCTCTCTGGCGAGTGCACACTCCCTACAGCAAAAAAAAAAAACCTCTCTAAAAATTTTAAAATAAAAAATGAAGAAGCTCAAGGAACCATAAGGACAGGTCCACATGAAGAACCAAGGCCTTAGTCAGCATCTTCATATGTGTTCCAGCTAATAGCTCATCTCTCACTTGTCAGTTGTGAATGAGGCCACCATGACCTTCAGGCCTTACCACCCCAATAGAGTAGAACTGTCCAGTCAACTCACAGGATGCTATGAAATGGTGAATTGTTGGTTTAAGCCTCCAAGTTTAGGGGTAGGTGATGTGCAACAAAACAGATAGCTGAAATAATAACAGGAAAAGAAGTCCTCTTACCTGTTAGGCTGAAAAGAGATCCGGTCATAACCTGTGAGTTCACACAAATCCTTCTCAAGCTCTCGGAAAAGCTGTTGATATCCTTGAGCTTGATCCAGAGGCACAAATGGGTGGATGTTTGCAAATTCCTTCCATGTAATAGGCTGAAAAGTGAGAGAAGAAAATAATGCAGATATACATATTGAAACAGTAATAATAACAATAACTTGAAAAATGATAAAAGCCAAAGCTAATAGAAAATGTGACTACTAGGTGCCAGGCACTGTTCTGAGCATTTTACCTATATTAAAGCCTCACCACAGTCTTACAAGGTAGGCACTATTACTATCTTCATTTTACAAGTGGGACATAAGGTTCCCAAACTAAACTTAAACAAAAATGTAATCTTTCTCTACTGTTTCAGGAACAAAAGAGATTTGTATCTATGAAATACTAAGAGTTGCTTCAGGTAAGGTTTATGCAAACTCTTACACAGCACATACATTACTCTCTCTCTTCATTAAGCAGAACACAAAATAAACATAAAAGTGAATGGGGAGGGGACGAGGACATGGTATAATGGTTACATCACTGGACTCCCATGTAGTTGATCGTGGTTCGAGTCCCAGACCCAGTGGCTTAAAACTCACACCAAATGTGTGTGTGTGTGTGCATGTCCAAAATTCTGAGAGGAGAATGGAGAATGGATTGCGATGTGGCTATCCCCTCAGCCCCTGGGGTGGGGGGGGCTGGACTGGTATCTAGCCTTCTGTCTCTCTGGCGAGCTGAAGCGCCCTATAGCAAAAATCTCTCAGAAAAAAGAAAATAGTGGGGACCAGCAGGTGGCATGGTGGTTAAGAAGCTGGACACTCCAGATGGCTGACCACAGTTTGAGTCCCAGACCTGGTGGCTTGCTTTCTCACTCTCTCTCCCTCTCTTTGTGTGTGTCTCTTTCTGGTCAAATTAAAATAAAAGAATGAATAAATAAAAAATTAATTAGAAAGTAATTCTTTTTTTATTTTTTTGAAAGTAATTCTTTTTTTAAAGAATTATTATTTATTTAATTTCATTTGTTATTATTATTCTTCAACTTGACCAGATAGAAACAGAGAGGGAGAGAGAAAGGGAAAGCAAGAAAGCAAGCTGCCAGGTCTGAGACTCAAACCACAATCAACCATGTGGAAATCCGGCACCTTTAACCACCACACCACCTGCTGGGCCCGTTGAAAAGTAATTCTTTAAAAAATAAAAAGTGAATGGGGAGGGGCTAGCAGGTGATGGTTAAAGTACCAGACTCCCATATGGCCAACTATGGTTTGAGTCCCAGACCTGGCAGCTTGCTTTCTCACTTTCTCTCTCTCTCTGGTGAGCACATGTGCCCTATAGCAAATTAAAATTAATTAATTAATTAATTAAATTAATAATAATTAAAATAATTCTTTTTCTAAAAGAAAAAAAAGAGAAAACTTGTCCTAATATAAATATAAAATAAAATGTTTTCTATTACCTGATGTCATTAGGATAAAGAAATAAAAGAAACAAGTTAGCTTTGCTTAAAAAAAAAAAAAAAAAAAAAAAAAAATCCTGGGCCAGCAGCAGGTGACATGGAAGATAAAAGAACTGAATCCCAGATGGCCAACTGAATGGTTCAAGTCCTGGAACCAGAGACTTGATAAACACACTAGTGCATGTGCATGCATGCCCAAAATCCTGAGCGGAGAAGGGAGAAGGGATTGCAGTGTGGCCATCCCCCCACCAGGGAGAGATTTCTCACTCTCTTGTCTCTGTCTGTCTCTGTAGCGAGTGCACGTGCACTGTAGCAAAATTCTTTAAAAAGATGTTTTTAACATGTCAGGTTGTAAAAAGTTAAAAGAAGGGGCTGGCAGGTGGTGTAGTGGTTAGGGGAGCTGGACTCCCACATAGCAGACCACAGTCCAAGTCCCAGACCTGGTAGCTTGCTTTCTCACTTTGTCTTCTCTCTTGTGTCTCATTCTGGTCAAATTTTAAAAATAACAGTAATGAAAATAAAATAAAGGAAATCATTCTTTAAAAAAGTTTAAAAAAAGAAGAAAGTAAAGGTAGAAAGGCATAAATAATATATTAATGCTTGATTAAAAACAATTTTACCTATGATTTACATGGTCAAGTTGTAAGAAATATTAGAGTTTCTCTTGATACTGGTGGATACCAATCAAGACATACCGAAAATTATTAAGTAATAGTCCCCGTGGCTTTCCCTAGTTATTGGCTATGTACAAGCTAGAACACTGCCCCTACCAAGTACCCTCTTACAGAAGTGACCTACTTACTGTAAGTTCAGATGAACTATTGAGCTTCATGGTGCAGGATCCCTTTAAAAAGCACATCCAAAACATATCATATTAGTGATTTTCTGTGGTCTACCTATCAACCCTCATGTATTCCCACACAGCCACTCCTTTGTCCCTCTTTGAGTATAATAAGTATGACCCAAAGAAGAGGGGTCAGAGTAGGGTCGAAAATGAGAAGAAAGGCCATAAACAACTACCAGTGGGATCATGCTGTGAACCAGGGAAATGTCTTTGTTTTCCAATTTCTTCATATACCGAATAATATTTGTTTCTGAGTGATAACTGTGAACACAAAACACATGATTTAGATCCAATAAAATTAGATGAATCCATCACATCCTCCTGAAAGACAAGACACTGAAGTCTACCTTCGAAATTCAGATCAATTTTGGCCATGGGCAACAAAACCAAGTATACAAGAGAGAAGGGCACAGAACCCCCATGAACCTCAGAGGAGGCCCTAGATAACAAGTGGCCTACGAGCATAAGAGGAAGGTTGGGAATAAGCAGGTATAGGACCTCTGGGTATGAACTTTGGCCTGACAATTATACATTCAAACCGCCCTCTTCCTGACAGTATCAAGGGAGTAGAGCCACCGGGAGACAAGGTGAGCCAAGTCAGGAATGGCATCTATGGTTAAACCTTATTAGGAGTTACAGCTGAGCCACAGTAATCCAGGTCACATAACACAGCCAACCACAGCTTCCAGCTGAACTCCCTAGCTTATTGCTTAACACGAAATGCATAAGTCAACCAAGCCGCACAAACCTGTTGAACACCTGATGTGTGAGGAATGGACTGGTTCTCTTGAGTGCAGACCCTGAAATGCCTTTCCGCTCCTCTCCCATGCTTTCAGCAACGAGTTCCTGCATGGAGAGACCACAGAAACTAAAGAGTGGTACATGCCTGGAAGTTTGCGTGAACATCCAGGTATCTGAATGGCTATGTGAGCGAGGAGATCCCCAACCCTGCTCCAGGTCTGGTGTGGCTTGACAGGAGTCAGGAGTCATGGAGTGTGACCATTCTCCAAGGTGGTTTTAACTTCTTTAACTTCCTGTTACTACGAGAAATAGATTACTTATAATTTCTACTGCAAAACAATTTTTCACATCTCTCAGTTTTTCCTTAAGTAATAAAGCAAGTTCTAGTAACTTGTTTTCTTTTTAAAGAATTACTTGTTTGTTTGCTTATTTATTTATTTATTTATTTATTTATTTTTAATTTGATCAGAGAGTGAGACACTGGGAAAAGCAAGCCACCAGGTCTGGGACTCCAACTGCAGTCAGCCATGTGGGAGTCCAGTGCCTTAACCACCACGCCACCAGCCAGCCCCCAGTAACTTGTTTTAAAAATCTGTAAAGGGACCAGCAGGGATTATGAAGATTAAGGCAAGTAGAGATCACGTGGCCAACAGCATGGTTGGAGTCCTAGACCCAGACAGCTGGAAAATCTCACTGGGTGTATGTATAAACATAACCAAAATCTTGAGATGAAAATGAAGGAGAGGGGATTGCAGCATGGCCAGCCCCCATGGAGGTGATTTCTCACTATCTCTCTCTCTATCTCTCTTTAGTAAGCACATTCATCCTATAGCAAACTAAAAAAACAAAAATAAAAAAGTCTATGAAAAAAAAGTTACTATGAGGGCCCAACAGGTGATGTGGTGGTTAAGGGCGATAGACTCCCCACATGGCCAACTATGGTTCAAGTCCTGGACCTGGCAGCTGACTTTCTCACTTTCCCTCTGTCTCTCTTTCTCTCTATCTGTCCCTCTCTGGTCAAATTAAAATAAATAAGTAAATAAAGTTAAATAATTCTTTAAAAAAAAGTTACTGTGATAACACTCGAGATAAGTACAGAGAGTCCCTGACTTATGATGACTTGACATTAAGGTTTGACTTTCTGAAGGTGTGAAAGTTATCAGCATTCAATAGAACCTGTACTTTAAGTACCCATTCAACTATTCATGTTCAGTACAATAGTCAATAACTTGTGAGATATTCAACACTTCATCAAAAAATAGGCTTGGGTTACGTGTTTTTGCCCACCTGCAGTCTAATATAAATGTTCTGAGTACACTTTTGCTAGGCTAGACTATTATATTTATTAGGGCTAGGTGTATTAAATGCATTTCAACTTAAAATGTTTTCAACTTGCAATAGATTTATCAGAACGTAACTTCACTGTAAGTCAGGATCATCTGTATTTTCATTTGACACTGCTTTCTTATTTTTGAGAATAGCTATAATAAAATGACACTGGACCCTCATCTTCTACCATGTACAAAAATTAACTCAGAATGGATCAAGACATAAATAAAACCATTAAACTCTTAGAAAACAATATAGAAGTAGAACTGCACAGGCTTGGATTTGGCAATAGTTTTCAAAATAGGACACCAAAAGTATGAGCAGCAGAAGAAAAATAGGAAATCTGGATTTTATTAAAATTTAAAAGGTTTGTGCATCAAAGCACACAATCAAGAGAGCTGAGTCAATGCATGTAATGAGGCAAATATTTGAAAATCATTTATCTGATAAGCTTAATATTGAAGGCTTACTCCTCATTCATCCCCTGGGTGATAATATGACCGTCTTGAGCCTTCTGTAGGCACTCCACAAACACTTCTCAAATGCACAGACTAAATATCCGTGATTAAATTTAATGCAGAGCTCACCAGCTTATCCAGTCCTGTTTGTTAATCAAAGTTTTTAAAGAGAACACTGTGGTGGTGGCAGGTGGCATAGTGGTTAGGGTGCTGAACTGTCACGTGGCTGACCACGATTTGACCCCCTAAGGGGTGATTTCTTGCTTTCTGTCTCTCTGGCAAGCGCATCACCCTATAAGAAAAATCTCAACAAAAAGAGAGAGAGAGAGAACACTGTGATGCTTTTTCTGTGATTTGTGATTGTGATTGTTATCTAGTATAATCCTTTGACGTTCTCTCCTTAGAGGGCACAGACATCGTCCCCTCAACACTCCAAAGGTATTTCTACTTATGCAGTCAGTATTTCACGATAGGGGAGTCTTTACTGAGTGAGTACTATGCACCAGGCATCACAGAGTGCTGTGTTTCACACCTTACCACAGCTGTAGTAGCAACTGACTACTCTCTTCCACTCTGGACCCATGGAGTGGTAACTCTTCTCCTCACTGGTCCCTGCTACTTGGTCATTTCAGAAAGCAACCTGAGCCACACTGGACCGCTTTTAATCTCATGTAATCTCTCTCCTCGCCATTGTGGCTGGTTTCCTCAATGGTTAGAACACCCAGACTACATCCTCCATTGTGGCATCTTGCTCTAGACAATTTCTATTCGGCTTTCAGATCTCAAATTCAGGCAATTTCTTCCCCAGTTATCAGTGAGACACTCACTCTCTGTACTCATGGGGTATCTTCACACATCACCCATCCTATCACATCACCTGAACTGTAGTTTTGGGCTTAGTTGACTGATATCAGACTGTAAACTCCATGAGGGTAGGACGCATGTCTAATTCATCACTATGTCCTCAGGGTAGCACCTAATATGTACAGTACTTAATATATATTAGGTCTTCAATAAATATTTACCTAAATACATGACTATCATGGGACCAGCAAATGGCATAATGGTTACATCATGGGATTCTCATGTAGTTGACTGCAGTTTGAGTCTCGGACCCGGCGGCTTAAAACTCATGCCCAGCACAGGAGCGTGCATGCCAAAAATCCCGAGAGGAGAGTGGAGGAGATTTCTGGAGGGGTGATCTCTTGCTTTCTGTCTCCTTGTTTTTCTCTGTCTCTCTGGCAAGTGCACACACCCCTATGGCAGAAAATTTCTCTAAAATAAATAAATAACGTAACATAATTATCCCAGAACTGACCTCTTGAAGATGCCAGTGCTGTGAATCTCTGTGTTAAGAACACTTTCAATGAAACACCATTAACAATCCTCCCAACTAGCTTGACTGCATGTCCTGGCTGGGGCCCACAGCAATGACCTGCAGCTATCAGTGGTCACTCTAGCAAGAGACAGTGGCATACTTTTAACATCAGGCCACTCTGCGTCATACCTGGGTCCCTTCTCCCTCACACACAAGAGAACAAACCATCTTTGCCACCACCTCTAACAGTCATTATGAGAAATGTGTGTTTATATTCTACTTACTGCAGATGACTCACAGCCAAAGATCCACAACAAATCATCCAGATCTTTTTCACTGACTGTTTCATCAAGAGAAATACCAAGCTACAGAAACAAAATTAAATGGAAAACATCAGGTTTAAATGCCAAGAATAGTGGAGGAATCCCAAAAGAGGTCAAAAGGGAGAAGCCGCTGGACAAAATTCAGTCGTGTAAAAACATCAGGTACAATTATATCCAGGTTGACCCTTAGGAGATGGTTTCTAGACCAATCCCAGACATGGTGAGTTTGGAAGGTTTGCAAGTCACCACTGGATTCAAACAGTCCATTGGCTTTAGGGTACTCTTACTGGAACTAGATATATTGGGTTGTCAGGAAAATCATGACGCATTTTTGCATAGAAAGACATAGAAAAACACATCATGACTTTCCCAACAGACTATTTGCCTTACTAATATCACTTGTCAAAGCCTTTACTTTGAGTGGTCATACTGTGGAGAGGAGTGTTAGGAATTCATATGTGCCTTTTAAGTCTCATATATGAAAATACAAAGTCTTAAGAAGAGGAGAGGATGAATTGTTTCTTATTGGAAAATTATGAAGATTAAGGCAAGTAGAGATCACGTGGCCAACAGCATGGTTGGAGTCCTAGACCCAGACAGCTGGAAAATCTCACTGGGTGTATGTATAAACATAACCAAAATCTTGAGATGAAAATGAAGGAGAGGGGATTGCAGCATGGCCAGCCCCCATGGAGGTGATTTCTCACTATCTCTCTCTCTATCTCTCTTTAGTAAGCACATTCATCCTATAGCAAACTAAAAAAACAAAAATAAAAAAGTCTATGAAAAAAAAGTTACTATGAGGGCCCAACAGGTGATGTGGTGGTTAAGGGCGATAGACTCCCCACATGGCCAACTATGGTTCAAGTCCTGGACCTGGCAGCTGACTTTCTCACTTTCCCTCTGTCTCTCTTTCTCTCTATCTGTCCCTCTCTGGTCAAATTAAAATAAATAAGTAAATAAAGTTAAATAATTCTTTAAAAAAAAGTTACTGTGATAACACTCGAGATAAGTACAGAGAGTCCCTGACTTATGATGACTTGACATTAAGGTTTGACTTTCTGAAGGTGTGAAAGTTATCAGCATTCAATAGAACCTGTACTTTAAGTACCCATTCAACTATTCATGTTCAGTACAATAGTCAATAACTTGTGAGATATTCAACACTTCATCAAAAAATAGGCTTGGGTTACGTGTTTTTGCCCACCTGCAGTCTAATATAAATGTTCTGAGTACACTTTTGCTAGGCTAGACTATTATATTTATTAGGGCTAGGTGTATTAAATGCATTTCAACTTAAAATGTTTTCAACTTGCAATAGATTTATCAGAACGTAACTTCACTGTAAGTCAGGATCATCTGTATTTTCATTTGACACTGCTTTCTTATTTTTGAGAATAGCTATAATAAAATGACACTGGACCCTCATCTTCTACCATGTACAAAAATTAACTCAGAATGGATCAAGACATAAATAAAACCATTAAACTCTTAGAAAACAATATAGAAGTAGAACTGCACAGGCTTGGATTTGGCAATAGTTTTCAAAATAGGACACCAAAAGTATGAGCAGCAGAAGAAAAATAGGAAATCTGGATTTTATTAAAATTTAAAAGGTTTGTGCATCAAAGCACACAATCAAGAGAGCTGAGTCAATGCATGTAATGAGGCAAATATTTGAAAATCATTTATCTGATAAGCTTAATATTGAAGGCTTACTCCTCATTCATCCCCTGGGTGATAATATGACCGTCTTGAGCCTTCTGTAGGCACTCCACAAACACTTCTCAAATGCACAGACTAAATATCCGTGATTAAATTTAATGCAGAGCTCACCAGCTTATCCAGTCCTGTTTGTTAATCAAAGTTTTTAAAGAGAACACTGTGGTGGTGGCAGGTGGCATAGTGGTTAGGGTGCTGAACTGTCACGTGGCTGACCACGATTTGACCCCCTAAGGGGTGATTTCTTGCTTTCTGTCTCTCTGGCAAGCGCATCACCCTATAAGAAAAATCTCAACAAAAAGAGAGAGAGAGAGAACACTGTGATGCTTTTTCTGTGATTTGTGATTGTGATTGTTATCTAGTATAATCCTTTGACGTTCTCTCCTTAGAGGGCACAGACATCGTCCCCTCAACACTCCAAAGGTATTTCTACTTATGCAGTCAGTATTTCACGATAGGGGAGTCTTTACTGAGTGAGTACTATGCACCAGGCATCACAGAGTGCTGTGTTTCACACCTTACCACAGCTGTAGTAGCAACTGACTACTCTCTTCCACTCTGGACCCATGGAGTGGTAACTCTTCTCCTCACTGGTCCCTGCTACTTGGTCATTTCAGAAAGCAACCTGAGCCACACTGGACCGCTTTTAATCTCATGTAATCTCTCTCCTCGCCATTGTGGCTGGTTTCCTCAATGGTTAGAACACCCAGACTACATCCTCCATTGTGGCATCTTGCTCTAGACAATTTCTATTCGGCTTTCAGATCTCAAATTCAGGCAATTTCTTCCCCAGTTATCAGTGAGACACTCACTCTCTGTACTCATGGGGTATCTTCACACATCACCCATCCTATCACATCACCTGAACTGTAGTTTTGGGCTTAGTTGACTGATATCAGACTGTAAACTCCATGAGGGTAGGACGCATGTCTAATTCATCACTATGTCCTCAGGGTAGCACCTAATATGTACAGTACTTAATATATATTAGGTCTTCAATAAATATTTACCTAAATACATGACTATCATGGGACCAGCAAATGGCATAATGGTTACATCATGGGATTCTCATGTAGTTGACTGCAGTTTGAGTCTCGGACCCGGCGGCTTAAAACTCATGCCCAGCACAGGAGCGTGCATGCCAAAAATCCCGAGAGGAGAGTGGAGGAGATTTCTGGAGGGGTGATCTCTTGCTTTCTGTCTCCTTGTTTTTCTCTGTCTCTCTGGCAAGTGCACACACCCCTATGGCAGAAAATTTCTCTAAAATAAATAAATAACGTAACATAATTATCCCAGAACTGACCTCTTGAAGATGCCAGTGCTGTGAATCTCTGTGTTAAGAACACTTTCAATGAAACACCATTAACAATCCTCCCAACTAGCTTGACTGCATGTCCTGGCTGGGGCCCACAGCAATGACCTGCAGCTATCAGTGGTCACTCTAGCAAGAGACAGTGGCATACTTTTAACATCAGGCCACTCTGCGTCATACCTGGGTCCCTTCTCCCTCACACACAAGAGAACAAACCATCTTTGCCACCACCTCTAACAGTCATTATGAGAAATGTGTGTTTATATTCTACTTACTGCAGATGACTCACAGCCAAAGATCCACAACAAATCATCCAGATCTTTTTCACTGACTGTTTCATCAAGAGAAATACCAAGCTACAGAAACAAAATTAAATGGAAAACATCAGGTTTAAATGCCAAGAATAGTGGAGGAATCCCAAAAGAGGTCAAAAGGGAGAAGCCGCTGGACAAAATTCAGTCGTGTAAAAACATCAGGTACAATTATATCCAGGTTGACCCTTAGGAGATGGTTTCTAGACCAATCCCAGACATGGTGAGTTTGGAAGGTTTGCAAGTCACCACTGGATTCAAACAGTCCATTGGCTTTAGGGTACTCTTACTGGAACTAGATATATTGGGTTGTCAGGAAAATCATGACGCATTTTTGCATAGAAAGACATAGAAAAACACATCATGACTTTCCCAACAGACTATTTGCCTTACTAATATCACTTGTCAAAGCCTTTACTTTGAGTGGTCATACTGTGGAGAGGAGTGTTAGGAATTCATATGTGCCTTTTAAGTCTCATATATGAAAATACAAAGTCTTAAGAAGAGGAGAGGATGAATTGTTTCTTATTGGAAAGGTCACAATATTGCATGCAGGAAATACAAATAGTTTGCACAAAAAATAGAGTGGGCCCAAAGTTCCAGCATTAATTTTTTTTTCAATAAAGAGGAAAGTAGGCCAGCTCTCCGGCCTGGTGGTTAATTAAGGATTCCATATGGCTGACTTGGACTTGGAGGGTTGAGGAACACACCAGGTACAAGTGCAAGAATAACCAAAATCCCGAAAGGAGATAGAGGATATGGATTGTGGCATGACCATTCCCCATGGGGGGGGGGTGCTTTTTTCTCTCTCTCCCTGTCTCTCTCTGGCCAGCTTATGCGCACTAGCAAATAAAAAAAATTTCTAATGAAGATTTTAATGATAAACGTCATGAAAATTTAGAGAACCGGTAAAAAAACAAAAACAGGATATTTGACTTACTGTGCCATCCTCGAAGAGCCGAAAATTGATTTGCCGCTGAGCGGCCCTGCCCAAGACCTCCTTCACCGAGCAGCCACATTGAATCTTCAAGGTGTCAAAGAACAAGTCATGCTGGAGTTGATGCCCTGCTCTCTTGAGACCTAGACAAGGAGGAGAGCCACCAATCTCTGACATGTAACACTGCTTCTCAGCCATGGATGTTTCAGACACATACATAGGTAAATCCTACTATAGTTTATTCCTGGTCCAGTTTTTAGTGCTTTTTCACAAGAAATTAAATGTTTATTACCAAGCTATAGAAAACTATAAAATACATATGAAAAGGGAAGAAAAATCCCCATAATCACCATCCAGAAATAAGCACTGCTTACATTTCAAAGTATAATCCTCTAAAAATAATGGGTGTTGTGTATATCTGTTGTATCAGACATATACATTCCACTTTTTTTCTCACATAAATATATCAAGAACAAGTTTGCTTTTCTATAGATTACTATCTGTATTACTCTTTCCTTTTTATAAAATTTTACTTATTTATTTTTTAGAGAGATTTTTGCTATAGGGTGTGTCCACTTGCCAAAGAGACTGAGAGAGACAGGGAGACAAAGAGTGAGAAATCAACCCCCCAGAGAGGATGGCCACACCTCAATCACTTCTCCTCCAGTCTTCTCTCGGGATTTGGGGCATACACACACGCCACCTGAGTTTGAGGCCGCCAGGTCCAGAATTCAAACTACGGTCAGCCGTATGAAAGTCCAGTGACATAACCACTATGCCATCTGTTGGTCCCAACTAGCTATATTACTTTTGATGGCTGTTTAATAATTATACTATTATATCATTTAATCACTTGTCATTAGACATTTATGTTATTTCCATCATTCAGAACAACGTAAACAATGTTTCAATGGACACTCTTCACAAGGTTATCTGATTATTTCCTTTAGAACATTCCTAGAGGTAGAATTTTCAGGTCAAATCGTAGGCTTTTTTTAAAAGCTTTTGATAGACATAGTTTAAATGCTATCCATAAAAGTCATACTAAAATGCTGTCAGCATTCTCCTAACCTTTGCCAATGTGATGGGAGAAATACTGTTTTACTGTTTTAATTTACATTTCTTTCATTAACAGAGAGGTAAAGATTTTACATGTTCATTAGTTATTTACAGGCAATCCTCACTTACCAACTGAGTTCCATGTCTACAACTAGGTCATTAAGAGAACTGGTCAATAAGTGAGGAGCTGAAAGGCAATGTCTTCTGGTGTGTTATGTGCTACAGGGTATGTATTTTTCAATAGGTATTAAGCATGCATTACATAAGCACCAAAATGTGACCAGACACACCACTACACAATAATATAAATCTGGCATAATCATTTTTATTTACTTTGAATATTATTACGGGTGCACAATAAAGTACTAATTTATAAATAAAATACGCAGTCTTGCGTGACCGTGAATACTTTGTGTAGTGACACTGACTGTGGAACAAGACAGACTGAGAAAGGTGATTCCCCAGCCTCACGCAGACTAAGAAAGGGGATTCCCCACTCTAGAGAATTGGTTTCAATCTGAGCAGTCGTTAAACAGGTATGTCATTAAGTAAGAAGTTGCTGTATTGTAGATGTATTTCTTTTTCAATTACACTTAATGTCTTCTACTTGTCTTTCTGCCAATTTATTCATCCTTTTAATTTTTGGGACACCCGTGACAAGGTCTTCACACCATGATCAGCTTCCTCCAGCTCTCCAACTAGTCAGGATCTTAGATGCAAGCACCCACCATGTTTCAGGTTGACTTGGGCTCTGAACCTGGTCGCATGGCTGCCAGAACTGCGGATCAGTATGCTAATACCTGCGCCAAAGCAGCTGGGCAACACTTAATCAAAATTTATCATTCTTGTTATGCCCAAAAGTTTTGATAAATGACTTACCTTCTGACAAAATCAAAGTGGCATTATGTACTCTCCTAGCAATATGCTCCAGCCCACGGGAGCCATGGTAGATTGCAAACATGGCAGCCATATTTGCCAAGAGTGCCTTAAAGGATAAAGGGCATTTAAAGAAACACATTTAACAATGCAATGAAAGATGATTAGCAAAGAAATTATTACTTGATTTGGGATGCCAAAATTAAAAACAGGGACAAAACAAAATCATCAGATTGCTTGTATTCTCTATGAAAGTTTGGGACCATTTATATCTTGCCTGACTACATGAGGGTAAACACATCATCCAAGACACCCTGGAGTCACTACTCCAAACCTTCAAATTTGACCATTCTAAAGGGATTTTATCCATGCAACATAGTCTTGTCACCCATAGGGGAAAAGATCAAGCTGTCATCAGACATTGAGAGGCAATACTATATTTAATGTTGCAAGAAAGTAAAATAATAAAGACATTAGAGTTAGGGATGATTAAGATTTGAGAATTTTATATCCAGTCAAGTAGTTCTTACAGAATAAATGCAGCAACCAATTTTCTTTTTCTTTAATTATTTTATTGAACTTTATTTTATTTATGTATTTGTTTTCATTTGATCAGAGAGGAAGAGAGTGATAAAGGGCAGGGAAGGGGGGTTGAGAAAACAAGCTGCCAGGTCTGGGACTCAAACTGCGGTTGGCCATGTGGGACTCCAGGACCCTTAACCATCATGCCACCTGCTGGCCCCAAAAGCAGCAAGCAATTTTCAAACACACAAGAACTTAGAGAATATAGTTCTCCTGAGGCCTTAAATGAAACACTAGAGCTGAATTTCAGCCATCCAAGATAAAAATAGCAAAAGATTGCTGAAGATGAAAATGAGCAACACAAGGTAATAAAACCAAAATGAATTGGCAGGAGATAAACTGGAAATGGAAAACAAATTCCTACTGGCTTATTCCCTAATGACAAGGTTGCTCTCTAAAGTAAAAATACCTCTCTAGTACGCTGGATTGAGATTTCAGAAAAAAATTTACAAGGAAGTATATGTTCCAGTTACAAAAAATGAAAAGGAACAGCACTGGAATCTCTCCGAGATAACGGATTCAACTCTAGGATGTTCCCATTAGGGGTGTCCTACATGGGGAGTAAGGAAGAACCCATGTGATGCTATCTTGGAGGTGGAAGAGAGATAAAGAGGATGGCTAAGGTCAGAAACAAAAATAAATGATGCCTTGGGAGTTAAATAATGAAAGACTACTGGGACCAGCAGTTGGCATAATTGCTATGTCACTGGACTCCCATGGAGTCGACCATGGTTCGAGTCTCAGACCCAGTGGTTTAAACTCACACCAGGCGCATGTGTGTGCATGCCCAAATCCCGGGAGGAGAAGGGATTGCGGCATGGCCATCCCCCCAGGGGGTGATTTCCCTCTTTTTGTCTCTCTGTTTCTGTCTTTCTGGCGAGTGCACACACTCTATAGCATAAAAAAACCTCTCCAAAAAAGAAAATAATAATGAAGGACTACCTCCTATATCTCCTCCTTTTGGTCTCATCCCTCACTTGTTTTTCACCTATTAATCAGCGTTCCAATCACCCATAACACACCACATAATGGATACAAATTGAAGTCTCAGAATAGCCACCCATCCAGTTTACTCTATTTTTTTTCTTTTTCTTTTCTTTTTTTTTTTTTTATTGAGAGTTTTATCGCTATAGCGCGCGGGCACGCACTCACCAGACAGACAGAGAGAGGCACAGAGACAGAAAGCGAGAAATCACCCCCAGAGGGGATGGTCACGCCGTAATCCCTTCTCCTCCATTCTCCTCTCGGGATCTTGGGCACGCATGCACACACGCCCGGCGTGAGTTCTAAGCCACCGGGTCCAGGACGCGAACCGCGATCGACTACGTGGGAATCCAGTGACATAGCCATTACGCTAACTGCTGGTTCCCTCCAGTTTACTCTATTTTCCCAGTCTCTTCCACTGGTCCAGGTGGCATGGTTTCTAACACACCAGGTGATCAGTTCAAAAGTCAGACTTTCAAAGTCTACCTTCATAGCTGGCCAAACTCCAGGGTGGGAAGAAGCACTTCACAGAACATTCTATTCAACTAAGAAACACAACACTTTAAAGTTAGTGTGGTAGTTGGGATGCTAGATTCCCACATGGCTGACCACCATTTGAGTCCAGGACCTGGAAGCTTGCTTTCTCACTTTCTCTGTATCTCTAGTGAACACACATGCCCCATAACAAATTAAAAATAATAATAATAAAATAAAATTAAGAATACTTTAAATAAACAAATAAATAAAAGAGTTGGATGGTGTTGAATAGTGGATCTATTTTGTTAGGTACAGTTTTTCTCTGCTGGGCTGTTTGAAGAATTTTCTATGATGCCAGTGCAAAACAAGGAACAGTTTATAAGAATAGGCCATAAAGTGATGTCAGTAATCAATGAACAAAATAAGGCGGAAAAGATGTTTTCCCATGGAAAATAACTATGGGTATCAGAGACAGTATGAGAGGAGGGCCTGATATACAGGGCGGGTAGGGAAGGAAGAGAGAATCAAGGGGGAAAATAATCAATGGACACAAAAAAAGAAAAATTATCTGGCAATGATATGTGGTAAAGATATACAGTGATTGAACATTTTAAAAAATTAAATTACAGGGACCAGCAGTTAGGGTAATGGCTATGTCGCTGAACTCCCATGTAGCTGACCATGGTTCGAGTCCTGGACCCGGTGGCTTAAACTCACGCCAGGCGCAGGTGCATGCGTGCCCCAGATTCCGAAAGGAGAATGGAGGAGAACAACACTTTAAAGTTAGTGTGGTAGTTGGGATGCTAGATTCCCACATGGCTGACCACCATTTGAGTCCAGGACCTGGAAGCTTGCTTTCTCACTTTCTCTGTATCTCTAGTGAACACACATGCCCCATAACAAATTAAAAATAATAATAATAAAATAAAATTAAGAATACTTTAAATAAACAAATAAATAAAAGAGTTGGATGGTGTTGAATAGTGGATCTATTTTGTTAGGTACAGTTTTTCTCTGCTGGGCTGTTTGAAGAATTTTCTATGATGCCAGTGCAAAACAAGGAACAGTTTATAAGAATAGGCCATAAAGTGATGTCAGTAATCAATGAACAAAATAAGGCGGAAAAGATGTTTTCCCATGGAAAATAACTATGGGTATCAGAGACAGTATGAGAGGAGGGCCTGATATACAGGGCGGGTAGGGAAGGAAGAGAGAATCAAGGGGGAAAATAATCAATGGACACAAAAAAAGAAAAATTATCTGGCAATGATATGTGGTAAAGATATACAGTGATTGAACATTTTAAAAAATTAAATTACAGGGACCAGCAGTTAGGGTAATGGCTATGTCGCTGAACTCCCATGTAGCTGACCATGGTTCGAGTCCTGGACCCGGTGGCTTAAACTCACGCCAGGCGCAGGTGCATGCGTGCCCCAGATTCCGAAAGGAGAATGGAGGAGAAGGGATTGCGGCATGGCCATCCCCCCTGGGGGGTGATTTCTCACTTTCTATCTCTCTGTCTCTGTCTTTCTGGCTAGCGCACGTGCCCTATAGCAAAAGCCGCTCCAAAAAAAAAAATTAAATTACAAAGAAGATATCATCCAGTAATACTAGGAAAACTTATCAGAAAAGAGACAGCCACCTTCCTGAGACAAAAGAATACAAGAAAACCAACTGACAAAACTACCCCAAAGACCAGTGGCTGTAGAACCAGCCCTAAGTAGACCTTATTGTCCACTGCCTCCTGGAGAGCCCATTTCTGTAGACTAAGGCATTAAGTAGTCAGGTCAGGTTTGTGACTTACCTGAGCTGTACAAATGTTGCTAGTTGCCTTGTCTCTCCGGATGTGTTGCTCCCTGGTTTGAAGAGCAAGACGATACACTTCTTTCCCAGTGGCATCTCTACACCAAGAATAAAGCAGCCAGTTAGAACAGATAATCACAGCACCAGATAATCACACCACCAGCAGCAGTAAAACATGACAGTGGTAGTGCAGCAGTAAAATGATAGTGTATAAGGTTGACCTACATGGGAAGGTTCCAGGCCCATGTCTGGAGACCTCCCTAGTTATGTCTATGACCTGGGGCTGGCTGAGGTTGGAAGCCTCAGGTGTTTCAGACTGACCAGGCTGGGGATTTAAATCATGATCACCATCTGAAATCTGGCTTCTTCCAAGCAGTGTATTATCACTGCACCAGGGAGCTGGCCCTCCTTTGCATTCTTGATCTGAGAAAGGTCATCAATGAGAAGCACTTCAGAAAGTATATTTGGAAACGATTTGAATGACCAAGTGGCAGAAGCCTCCAGGAAATAATGTGGACCACACTTGACATGGCTTTACACTCTCATTGCACAGGTCATTAGGTACCCATGGGACTTAACAATACTTATGAGAAAAACAGATTAGACATGAAACACACATAAAATATTCAATCTCTCAAAGTTTCCATCAACCCAAATTCACTTTTCTAATTTCAATACTAATACATCACAAAGTAAACACACACTTTCAAATATGCACAAATTCATGGTATCTGAGAAGTATTAGCTCACACCCCAAACAGATTTTGTCTTCTGAAATTATGTTGTATATTTTGTTAATCAAGCCAAGATGACCCAGTTAATTGAGAAAGGAATCAATCTTTGTGATCAGGAGAAGGAACAGGACAAGCCATAGTGCAATAAAAGAGGAAGAAGCTGAGCTGTGTTACCTTGTTACCCCCACCATCCGTCCAGGCATCATCCTCACCAAGCTGTCTCTGACAGCAAAAAAGGCTGCGTGAGGTCCCCCATATCCCAGGGGCACTCCAAATCTCTGTGAGCTGCCCAGGGCGATGTCTACCCCAAACTCTCCAGGGGGCCTCAAGATACATAGAGCTAACAGGTCAGTGGCACAGCAGGTCAGACTCTGGAAGGAAATGAGAGAAAGCATAGGATGTCATCTCTCCCGGAACACAATAGGAGTAGTAAATGATCTCAACTGCTAGTACACTGGCAGAGTCGGTCCATAGTATGTGAACTTCAGTTGTTCATTCATTCATTCAACAAGTTAAACACTGAGTGTCGGGACCAGCAGTTAGCTTAATGGCTATGTTGCTGGATTCCCACGTGGTCGACTGCGGTTCACGTCCCAGACACGGTGGCTTAAAACTCACGCTGGGCGCGTGTGCGTGCGTGCCCAAGATCCCAAGAGGAGAATGGAGAAGGGATTGCGGGGTGGCCATCCCCCCTGGGGGGTGATTTCTCGCTTTCTGTCTCTATGTCTCTCTGTCTGTCTGGCGAGCGCACGCACCCTATAGCAAAAACCTCTCAAAAAAAAAAAAAAAAACTGAGTGTCAATGATGTGCCATGAATCAGTGAACAATGCAACTTGAAGAAAGAAGGAGTTTTACCATTCAATGTGATAAAATTAAGACACCGAAAAACATAAACAAACAAATAAATAAATAATTCAAAACTGGGACACACATCCATAGCCCCCCATAGAGAAGTTCTGCTCACTCCACTCTGGTGGGCTCTCTCCACAAGTTCTGTGAAGTCTTCCACCTTCCCCTCAGTGTCTGGGTACTGGAACAACACCCCACTGACATCCTTTCCACTGAAGTCCATCTCATGGGGTAGCTTCAGCTCAATGAGGACTCCACTATATCTGAAAATTCAAAGGATGAAGACCAATCATGCTTTCAGCTTACAGGGGAAAATCAGATGAACTAAAGTTTCTTTTCAATGACACACATTCATTTTCTATGCCTTCCCGTAAGGCCCTCCCCACAGTCCCACACCTGGCCCACACCAAATCAAGTGCATTCAACAAGCTCAGTTTCTGTTCTTCTCTTCTACCCTTCCCACTGCCCTCCCCTTCATTCCTTCTTGTCAGATCTTTTCCTAAGAGAAGACTGGGACTATCACTTCTTAGGGCTAAAGAACAAATACTTGTATGACAGGGCCATCACCATTTACACTTTGGATCAATCATAGATAAAAGGAAAACCATCAGTGAAACAAGGAGGAAGAACTTCCTTAGACGCCTAAAACTACTTAATGCTGACCCAATGTCAGAAAAATCAGGGTGAAAAGACAGTGGTTATTGGTAGGGGTAGGATGCTCTCTCAACTTTTACAAAGACGAGAGCAAAAATCTCAAGCAGAGATTTATCTAACCCTGTTTAGCAAAATCTGTCTTATTTTTTTGTTTTTCTTTTAATTTGACCAGAGGTTGTGCTAGGTTTGTTTTACCTGATTACAGCAGTAAACACATACAATACACATTAATCTAGTCTTATTTCGCCTAGGCATTGTGTAGATTCCCTATAAACTACGTTTCCAGGGAAAACACACAAAAATAACAGCTATGAGTTTCATTTTTTTCCTACTGTTCTTCAAACTTTCCAAAATATTGCTGAAAAGACTTTTAGCATTTTCTAATTTCCTTTTCACAAAAAGAAAACAAAAAAACATGGTAACTTACTATAAAGACAACTAAACTCATTGTGTATTATCCCTTCAATTTTCACCCATCACACTAAACAGAGAGATCACTAAAAAAAAGGGAAAGCAAAACTTAACAATCCAATTTAACCAGGCTCTACTCCAATCAAGTTGGAAGTGAGAAAGAGAGAGAAACAGAGATATGGCCATAATAGCACCTCCTGAGTTCGAAGTACAAATAAAATTAATTACTTTGCCCGAGTCTGGACAACAGCTATTGTCTGTGGGTGGCAGTGGGGGTCGATGAAAAATTTCCTCCTCTTGTTGTGTCTGTTGAAAAGAAAAAGCACATTCAAACACAAACATTACAGAAATCAGGGGTCAGACAGTGTCATGGTGGATAAGGTGGCTGGATCTCATATGGCCACCTATATAGTTCAAGTCCTGAACCTAGTGGCTTGAAAAACATGTGCCCTAAATCTCCAAATGAGTGAGAAATGAAAGAGAAGGGATTGTGGTGTAACCATCCCCTGTGAGAGCATGAGTGCTTTTTCATTTTCCTTCTCTATTTCCCTCCAGTGTATACACGAATCCTCTGTCAAATTAAAAAATAATAATAATAGTTATCTTTCCTTGAGTGTGGTACTTAAGGAAAATCTGACCATACTATAAAAAAAAAAAGAGTTGTTAATGACTAACGACATTTACTGATTGGAATCCTACTAAAATCCTATTCCCATTCTAACCCTGTTTAGCAAAATCTGTCTTTATTTTTTTGTTTTTCTTTTAATTTGACCAGAGAGAGGCAGAGAGAAAGGGAAAGTGAGAAAGCAAGCCACCAGGTCTGGGACTTGAACCATAGTCAGTCACATAGGAGGTGCAGTACCTTAACTATCATGCCATCTGCCTGCCCCACAAGAATCTATCTTAAAATGGCTCAAATGTTAAAAAGATATGTACCATGAGGGAGGAAAAAAAAAAAAAAGCAAAGGGCAAGATTAGATACAGGTGAAACAAATAAATAACAAATAAAAATAAAACCAAACAATGAAAAACTCCTCTAAATAAAAATATGTTTGGGCCAGCAAGTGGTGTGATGGTTAAGGTGCTGGACTTCCAAATGGCTGACCACAGTTAGAGTCCCATAGCTGGCAGCTTGCTTTCTCACTTTCTCTTTCTCTCTGTCTCTCTCTGGTGAGTGCACGTGTCCTATAGCAAAATTTTAAAATAGTAATAATAATTAATAAAATTCAATAAGTAATTCTTTCATTAAAAAAAAAAACTTATAAAAAAATCTTAGAATTCTATTGACAGGCCAGCCTATTGTGTGGTGGTTGAGGTAGCTGGGTCCCACATGACTGACTGTGCGGTTCAAGACTCAGACTCAGCAGTTTAAGAAATGTGCCAGGCATGTGCGCTGAGGGTCCTAAATCCTAAAAAATAGAAAGAGATGGAAGAGAAGGGATTCCAGCAAGGCCATACCCCATGGGGAGTGCTTTCTCACTTTTCCTTGCTGTTTCTCTCTGGCATACACATGTGCCCTTTGCCAAATTAAGAAAATAATAATCAGCAGGCTCTAAAACTATTAAGCCTTAGG